ATGGCTTGCACATTACGTAAAAACCTTGTGCATATGAACCCACATGAATCCAAAGCAAATCATTCGAAGATTATAGTCTACCTTAGATCTCCTTTGACTGCCTCTGTTGGTTCCCTTCGTCATTCTATTGATTCATTCACATGGATTTATTACTTGTATGTCCTCTTGCTTCCTTATTGAAACCTGTTATGGAAGTTGCTAGTCAAATGAATAGAATGAGTTCAGAGTTTTCTCCATATTGATTTTCAATAACAACAACCAGAAAGGAAAGAGCAAAAAAACGATCTTCCAAATGTAGTGTTTGTAGCTTTCATCTTTGTTTCCTTTCCCTGAATTTTAGCCACTTTTCAAATTCATGCCTGTTCCTTTTGCCCTCGTCTCTGATCCATCAAGTCGGGAAGGAGAAAATGAGTGAAATGGACCGACTACAACTTACAATTCCATCACAGCTGGGAGAATTCAAATATTGCTGGGAACAGAAACAAGAAGGAACAAAAATAATGATAAACAGCACGACCGCTTGCGTCTAAATTGGGGATGATTCTCAAGCTGTAAGAGCTTTGCAGTTTTTACCATGTTTGCATTGCCATAAAGGGGTTAACAGCAACTGTTATTGGTCTATGAAATGACCAAAGACCACCTTAAAGTCGGTCCTAAATCCGCGCGCGCACCAGTATCTTGCTTTCTATGAAAAGAGACGAAACTGGTTTCTTTTATTATTTGACAAAGATGGATCAAATGGCTTGTTGCTATAACTACTAGCTACAGATATTTTGTCCCTGAAGAAAGGATATGATGTGGGTCTTGTCGTTTCTTATGACTTTTGGACGATCAAGACTTTATCAAAACTTTCTCGAAGAAACGTGCTTGAGGAAGATAGAGCCATGCAGTCTCAAGTTTTCATTTTGCTCACAAAAGTATTTCCTTTTTTTTTTCCCGGATAAACCTGCGTGCATAGAAAGTGAGCTTAATTTACTGTGAGCGATAATGTTCTGTCACGTGATAGTGCTATCATTTTCACTTATTCATGATCAGGGGCGGAGCAAGAAAAAAAAACTAAGGGAGGCAAATTAAAAATTAAGGGGAGTAAAGTTAAATTTTTAATTATTTTTATAATATTTACAAGGAGGGGGCTGGAAAAAAAATTTCCTGCAGGGGCCGGGGCCCCTGCCAGCCCCCCTGCCTCAGCCACTGTTCATGATGGTCTTTGTACTAGCTGGTTAATTTTGACTTTAGAAAATGCCCCTCTATTTGCGTTTTAAAGTTCTGACATCGGTGCGGCCGTGCGGACTGAGGATCTCCTTTCCCATTATGAAAAGCTCACTTACTGGGCTTTCACTGTGCAGCCGTGCTACAGTAATCTAGGCTCAAGAGGCCACGCCCCACTGCATAGATTTGGTGCGATCCGTAATGTTTTGGTCATAAGATGGAGAGTTTAGTAATTGGTGGATGGCAACAAAAATCACAGACGTGAGGCTATTCGGCTATGAAATGGGCTGAATACCTACACTATAGTAGTTTCAGGCTTCGAGCCCAAAATATTCATATACCAAGAATAAAGGATACGCCGTTTCAAGAGCAAATGCTGACCGAAAAGGGTCCAGAAGGGTAGGGTTGTCTATTCTGTGTTACATTCCGATTTATTTGCTCTGTTTTAAGAAATAAAAATAATAAAATAGATGAGAAAATATATATTTTTAAAATAAAATACTATCTGATTGAGCATGTTCAATAGTGTTCAAGGAAGCTACAGTTAACTCCAAAGAAATAAGAATTTTAACTTATTAAAAAAAAAAAGATTTACTGGTAGAGGAATTTCGTCACTCCATGATTCAAGTCCGTATTTGATCATAACCTATTAATCTTTGATGAAATGAGCCCGTAAATAACCGGGTCTACTGAAAATACAGTGTAAATAGTATTTTATAAAATTTTATTTTTTATTAAAAACTAATTTTTTAATATTTTTATATTATTTTAATATGATATGTTGAAAATAATTTTTTTTAAAAAAAAAATATATTTTAATATATCTCTAAACAAAAAAATATTCTAAACCTCAACTGCTACTATAATCTTAAATAGACCTCTAAGTATCACCCAAAATAAAAAAAAAATCTTTAATGTTATTTAATATTATTATTGAAACATTTTAAATTGTTTTTTTATATTTTTTAAATTTTTATTTGTTAATATAAAAAAAATTAAAAAAAATTATTATAATATAATTTAAAAATTTTAAATTGTTTTTTTATATTTTTTATATTTTTATTTGTTAATATAAAAATAAATTTTATAAAATAAAAAAAATATTATAATATATTTCAAAACTAAAAATATTTTTTTAAAAAAAATCTCCCCTCGAAAACAGTTGCTATTGAAATTATAACCCGATATACATTCTCTTGCCATGCCACTTGCAATCGTCCGCTGTAGAAGAATTTGAAGTAGCAACACTGTTGGGATTGAAGGTTATTTTGAACACAAAACACTAACTAGCTCGGTATGCTTACGACTTTATAGAGATGGGCATGCCATTGATGCGCTCAATCTAGACCAGTACAGAAATCTCTGAGTTGCAACACCAATCCAAATTGTCAAATTGGAGTGGCTCCTTAGCCCACTCAGCAAAGACAACATCGAATTTGGGTGCCTTTTTCTCCACTTCTGCCATCCGAGCCAGTGCTCCAACCATACCACCACGCCCTTTTTTAAGCATTCTTTCCAAATGCAAAATCACTCAAGCCTACTCTTATCCATTCTATGATTCTCAGGCCCGATAATTAACCCCTTTATTCCCAATTCAGTCAGCTTCCCATGAGGTAATATTTCATACTTCACTTGCCGGCAATCGATTATTCTTTTTCTTATATCAGATGTTTGTAGTTAATTTCTCCAATTTCCATGATTTCTCACTCTGTTTAAAAGTCTCTGTAAAGAAAGAAGAAGCATGTATGTAAGATTTCATGGTAGTTGATCAATTTATGAAATTTTATTCAGTTCATATCATTAAGCATTTGTCTTTCCATGAGAGTTTTCTAAATCAGTTGCATTGATTCTTACATTTCACTGAATTCTTTCGCTTTCTATCTGCTTTCTGCCCTGGAGGACTCGCTGGACATTTTTTTTCCCTTGTTCATTTTCTCCCCTGTAAAATTGTTTTTTCAAAACATACATTTCAATAAAACACGTATCAAGTGGGAAGTTGCCGTAACTTAGTTTTCAGAAACATATCCTGGAGCTTTCTTTTGAGTGCTTGAATTGATCTTTTTTTGTAAAAGATTCCTAGCTTCTTCCACATATTGAGTATAAACTACAACCAAGCCTCGATCCCAAACCGATCAGGGTCGGCTACATATATGGATCCTTTTGTGCTATTCCGCATGACTGTATACCAAGATCCAAATTTCCAAATTAAATATTTTACCTGGCATGTCAATTGTTAAACATTCTGATAATGGGTAACAATATCTCTGCATCAGATTACTGTAGCCGGTTGATCTTGTGTTTTTTCCCCTCTAAGAAGAGGAATCTTGTCTAAGAACCCTGTCATCATACAATCGCATGTCCATATAAATTGCTCTGTATAAGCTCGATTAGCCTGTCATGTTCAATAATACTGCTTTCACAGATAGATTGTGTGCCTGAGTGGCCCTTGACTCTCTGAATAGTTTTGGATGTTGATGCACATGATTGTGATTCCGTTGAGTTGGGCATGATCTCTGCTGATGGACATATCCTGATGCCACGATTATTTCTCTAATTCCATGTTTCTTGAAGGATAACACCATGAAAGATGAGCCTGAAGAACCATTCACCGCCCAGCACCGATGGTCTTTCACTCCAAGCAAGTTCAATCAACAAGCATTCCGTATCCAGTACAATGGATATTAGTCCTTATCCGCCGAAGACTGATGCACCAGATGAGAAGCTTGGAGTGAAAGACCCATCCCAACAAAATCACTCTGCACAGGCTTCCTCTGTTGTTAAATGATAGTTAGAGAGCTTAGCATCATCAAAGAACAAAGAACCAGGAGCAGAGCAAGAACTTCAAAGGTTACTGCCATCCCTCAAATTTTATTTATAGATAAAGTCAAAGATTTCAAGATCTTTATCATAAAGAAAAAGAATCATAATAGCCATAATCTCATTTATCTAAGAGATTAAGTGAGTACATAGGCTTATTCCAAGTCAAGCAAATATCTAGCTAAATTTAAACTTAAAAATCAGAACATAAAAAAATATCATAGCAGATAGATAAGTATGACTAAAAAATAACCGATGGTAACCTCTAGGTGTAATACTGTAATACCCCACCACTTCAACATCCTCCTCACACTTCAGCTCTTCACATATAACGGACATTTTACACGCTCTTTGAAGGATATACAGCCCTGCTCTCCACAGATATCTTCCACAGCAGTCCAATCTCCACCGTCGTTCTCCCCATCACCAGAGGATTCTCTTCCTGTTCAAAGGCATAAACCTTGTTATGGATGGCTTAGCAGTGATGATGAGGATTAGCCATTTCTCTGCTTGCAGGGTTTTTTTTTCAGATCCATATATTTGCAACATTTGTTAGTAAATGTATGTTTAACATTGTTATAGTTTTTGCCATTATAATTTTACAAGATAATTTTTTAAAAAAAAATAGAAATTATAGTTTTTTTATGACTAAAATTTCAATAATTTTTTTAATAAATTCATTTAAAATTATAATTTGTATTGGTTAATTAAATATTTTTTAAATTATGATTTTAGCAAAAGAAAATGACAACCACACCATATTACTACCAAACAGACGAAAAAAAATAAAAATGAAAAACAGTGCCTGTAGCGAAATGGGTTTTCAATTTCAGCAGGAATTTTAATTACATTTTTACCACCTAAAGTTGTTGAAATCTCAAAATAGCCACTCAAGCTAGCTCACATAATGTACACGTGTGGGATCCGGATTGGGAATTTCAGATACCGAAAACAAAGGAAAATATCACAAGGCTTAGGCGGGTACTAAAAGCAGAGCAACGAACAAAAAAGGGATAATTCCCTTTAAAAAGCAAGGCTTCTACTTCTTCGTCAGCCATCGTTACTCACTCCCAAGATATCTGTCTGTTCCAGCCCCGGATAGACAACACTGAAGAAAGAAAAAGACGAAAAGGTTTCCAATTCGTCAAATTTCAATGGACACTTAGGGTTTTAAATAGAAAGAAAGAAGACGTTATTTTTTCTTTTAGATGCTAAAAATGAGTGTTTCGGCGACATTTCGTGGCAATTTTAGTTCCTTATTGATACCACAGAGCAGCTATTGTCCTTGCGATTATCGTCCACGCCACATTTTAGCTTCATCTTCTGTTATTTCTTGGCGAAAACGATGTCGTACAAGAGATTTCAAGTTGTACCAGGTTTCAGAGTAAGACTTCTTCTTCTTCTTCTTCTTCAATTGTTATGGTTTTTTATAATTTATTTATTATAGTAATGATCAAAAACGCGTTCTAGTTTTTTCTACGTGAAGGAAGCTAATTATACTGCTGTGTTTTAGGTTTTGTGAGAAGAGAGAAATTATTGTATGTAGAGCTGCAGAGACAGAGATTGAACCGGATAATAGCAACAATGATAATAAGGTTATTGCTACCTCTTTTGTTTTCTTCTGTTTATATATATACAAATAGAATAATAACATGCAATGTTAGCTAGATACTACCGTTTATCTGGTTAATTAGTTAGTTTGGTGCGTCTTTGATTTGATTTAAAGTTGTTGAATTTAACTTAGGAGGTGAAGTAACTTATGATCCCATTCACATGTTTTGGTTGAGTTATAGATTTAGTTTTGAATTCCATTTCATGAAATTCGATATCTTACTTTGGACGTGTGGGGATTGGAATACAAATCCAAGATCAAATAATTGAGAGTTATAGATTTAGTTTCATGTTAATGTTTTTTTTTTTTTGCATTCACATTCGTGGGATTTATTTAACATTGAATTTGTTAAATGTATCTAGGAAAAAGAAGTGCATGAAGGAGGAGAGGAGCATCCTACCATAGATTCCGTTGGCCAAACTGACGACCAACCTGATTCTCAGCCTACAATTCTAAATCAAATAAATGGCGGGGAAATTACTACTGGAGGTGGCACCCAGGTATTTATATCTCTTACTTATTATAAGACTTGCAGTTTTTAGATTCTTTGTTTTTATCAATATAGTTGTTGACATAATGTTTGCTCTATGCGGTCAGCTATTAAGTGATGTTTGAGAGTGTAATAGCAGTTGTTTTTCAAGTAGTTTTTATTCAGAAATGCATCAAATAATTTTTTTTATTTTTAAAAAATTATTTTTAACATCAGCATATCAAAATGGTTTAAAAATATAAAAAAAATATTAATTTGAAGCAAAGAAAAAAATAAAACAATTTTAATTTTTTTCAAAAACACTTTTAAAATGCAAAAACAAACAGGTTATTTGCATTTCCTTTCCCTTTTAACACTTATGCATGGAATAACTGTATGTTTAGTCTCCTTCTCTTGAAGGGAAAGATGTGCTGCTTCTAAGTGGTTTTGAGTAACAACAGTTAAATGAAACAATATACAATGGCTGGCCACAACATCCTGTAGCCATTCAAATTTCGTAAGAAAACTCTGGCTCCTGCCCTTGACAATTCTGTTCATCTCAGAGTCCATGTTCTTTGACATAATATTATTTTTAATAGGTTCATGTAATTTTCTTTGGTTTGGGAGCAGGAAACTCATTATTAAATCCTCTGACCCTTATTACATTAAGGTTGTGTTTGAAACAGGAAGCTGATGATGAAGTTGTCAGTGGGTCCCCTCTGCCAGGTGTGAAGGTGATTTGCAAGTGCTTAGTTTTTTGCGTTTCAGTAGGGATCTTCTTTCAAAGCATACTTTCTTACTTCTTTTTAAAAATTTCCTTAACAGCCCCAGCAACTGGATGAATCAATCAGGATTCCTAAAGAAACAATTGATATTCTCAGGAACCAAGTGTTTGGCTTTGATACATTTTTTGTGACAAGCCAGGAGCCATATGAGGTGAGCTACTAATGCGCAAGGCTTTATGTTTTTCCATTTGTTTCCTTCTGTCCATTACAAATTCTCTAAGAGGGAATAAAACCAAATGGATTTGCAATCCAGGCTAGAAGTTCTGACTGATTATCCAAAGCTTACATCTGTTCTAGCCAATAGCCTAAGTTTATGTTATCCTCATTGTGCTTTTATCATGGATATCAAACATCTCTTGAACAGTGATTAGGTTTGCTCCATCTTACTCACTCTCCATGAAAGAAATGCTTTTGCTGACATCCTTGCTAAAAGGGATCTTCTCAAGATTGTCTTATAGTGTGGACTAGTCCAACATGTTCATCCACAGCTTCTATCTGATGGTTCTTGAGTCTTATTTTTTAGAGGGTAGTTTGTTTTTGTTTCTTTTCCATTGTACCAAAAAGAATTGCTCTTTATTCCTTTAAATTTTTTGAAATTCTTTACAAATTTACCAGTGGAAGTTGAAAATTCATTTAAGAAGGGGGACAAGGAGTGTGTGAAATAGATACATAAGAGGAGTTTACTATTTCATTTTACTCTTTCTAGTCAAGAGTGAATATTTTATGTCCTTCTAGTTAATTTGTTTGATTTTTTGTTATGCTTTTGGTAGGGTGGAGTCTTGTTTAAAGGAAACCTGCGAGGCCAGGCAGCTAAAAGCTATGAAAAATTAACGAACAGGATGCAGGTGAATTTATTAACTTCTTCATTTCCCCCCCTTTTCATGCAGTTTTGTCACTGATACTGCACACAATTCAATTAAACAGAATAAATTTGGGGATGAGTACAAGATTTTCCTCCTAGTTAATCCGGAGGATGATAAACCAGTGGCAGTTGTGGTTCCAAGAAAGACCCTACAGCCAGAAACGACAGGTAGTTTTATAGCCTAGTACAGTGTTATTTTTTATTTTTTTTTTGCCTGATCAGCACCTTTTTTCACAGTAAAATACTTAAATCTCTCATCACAAGAGTGAAGACACAAATCAGAGCCATTTTAACTTCTGGTTTAAACTACAATGAATTTAGCTTTATTTCTGCAGCTGTCCCAGAGTGGTTTGCAGCTGGCGCTTTTGGACTGGTTACAATTTTTACGTTACTTCTCCGGAATGTGCCTGCATTACAGTCAAACATATTGTATGTAATTTATTTATCTATTCTTATGAATCATATTTACATTAATAAAAGTTATGTTTTGCTGAAGCTGAGGGTATTTAGATTAACAAAGAACTTATAATTGTTTTCTGTCAGACTTATCATTTAGGCAAGTATCTGAAAAGGTACAGTGTGATTTCCATGTATACCCTGTTGTTGTTCCATGTGCCCTCCTTTTGTGTTACAGCTCTTGATTAAGGGTGATAACTTGAGCAAATTCTCTTTCTTTGCCTTTGCTACATGCATTTTCCAGAGAGGGTACTTCATTTTTATTTTTATTTTGTCATTGTTCATGTGGATAATTTGTTTATGCTGTGGTGTTAAAAGTGCCTTTTATATCTACTCATCTTGTAGTTTATCTTCAAGGTTTCTAATTCATTTTTGTATGAGCATTTTCTTTGACCTTCTAGACTTCTTTCATGACACAGAACTCATACAAATTTTCTGACTAGAACATTGATATTTTAAATGTTCCAGATCGACTTTTGACAATCCTCAGCTGTTGATGGATGGGCTACCCGGAGCCCTTGTGACTGCACTTGTTCTGGGGGCGCATGAATTGAGCCACATACTGGTTGCAAAAAGTAATGAAGTTAAGCTTGGGGTGCCATACTTTGTTCCAAGTTGGCAGGTGAAATATATGTATATATATTGTTGTCTTGTCTTGATCTTTGCTTGTGGTGTTCCCTAACGTGATTTCTTTGGGGAACTGGCTATGAGACTGTTTTCTATCCAAAGCAATCCTTTTCTATTGACTAATCTATCCTGGGTCGGTGGCAGATAGGTTCTTTCGGTGCTATCACAAGAATAACAAGTATCGTGCCCAAACGTGAAGTTCTTCTCAAAGTTGCAGTGGCAGGACCTTTAGCTGGGTTTTCCTTGGGTCTTGTTCTTTTCCTTTTGGGCTTCATCTTACCACCTAGTGATGGTATTGGTCTTGTTGTTGACGCTTCTGTTTTTCATGAGTCATTTCTTGCTGGGGGTATTGGTAAGTTCTTCATTTTGTAGTTTATTGCATACAGATCTGCTAGTGCATTCTGTTATGACTTGCAATGCTATAAAGATTGATGGAGATCAAATTTATCTAATTATAGTTGACTACCTTGATCTTTATTTTTCTTTTCCCAAAAAAAGGCTTGCATTTTTTTTCAGTGATCAAGTTATTTACTTTAAATGTAATTTTATTCAGGCAAGTTGGAGACCGTTGATATTAACTTTGAGCTTTGATTTTACCTGTAGCTAAACTTCTGCTAGGTGATGTACTCAAGGAAGGCACTCCCATATCTGTTAATCCACTGGTGATATGGGCATGGGCTGGACTTCTTATTAATGCCATCAACAGCATCCCTGCTGGAGAGCTTGATGGTGGGCGAATTTCTTTTGCTATCTGGGGAAGGAAGGTATACCATTTAAAATTAAGCACAAGAGAAATTATAAGATACTTCCAATGGATTGCCTCCCCACCCACATGAAAGCGGGACCCACTATGATAACGCCAGTGAGGTCCACTGTTATATGAGTGGATAGGAGTACGCTGGGAGTATCTAATGATCTCTTTAAATACAATATAGCAATAACTTCAAGGTTTAAACTCAATGTTGTTGACCCAAAAGTCATTTTCAAATGGCTCAGGAATTAAAATTTAACCTTTGAACCTCAGATATTTTTCTGAATGCTTTGAGGTGAAGAGAGCGTGACACAGATCTAGTTTTTCATTTGACAGGCCTCAGCTCGCTTCACTGGTTTCTCCATTGTCTTGCTTGGACTATCCTCACTACTTAATGATGTGGCTTTTTACTGGGTAGTTCTAATATTCTTCTTACAAAGGGGGCCAATTTCTCCAGTTTCTGAAGAGATAAGTGATCCCGAGAATAAGTATGTTGCCCTTGGACTATTAGTTTTGGTCTTAGGATTGCTGGTGTGCCTACCATACCCCTTCCCTTTTACAGATGAAACCGTTACAAGTTTCACAAGTAATGCCATTTCAAATCTCTAGTCACAATACAGTTTCCATATACTCCAGCCTAAAGTTTTTCTTAGAATATCAGACAGCCTTGTTAGTGTAACGTGTACAAGGAAATGCGATACGCATTTTAGCCCATCAAATTGGTGAAATTGTGCTGTGTATTAGCATCAAGAAATTCATATGCATGGCTATTTTCTCCCTTAATTCCGTTCGTGTAATTTCAACAAGTCGATGAATCTTTTCGCGGGTGCTTCTATTTTTAAGTAATGCCATGGTCGAAGTTAGTACATGACCACATCCTGGGTGACTGAATCAGCGAGAACAGATAACTATCCTGGATTGCCTTCAAAGGCATCGCGTGCCGTTAAAGTTGATATGTACCCTTGCAGAATGTCATGTCATTTCAGCTTGTAAGAACTGGGGAAAACGTTTTATATGCTAGTATTGGTGGTGGGGTAGGAGACATAAGATTCCATTTCACTTTGAGAAGGCTTCTTTCCTTGCTGTGTGACCAGCCAGATACTTCTTGCCCAGAAAATTCAAGTATTTTGGTGTGGATAATCATGTGTATTTTCGGATAAAGATAAACTTGGCTGCATTCGATTGATAAATTGGGCAGTTAGCATAATAAATTTAAAAAATTGATGAATTGACATAGGTTTAAACATATTCAAGTATTAAGAAAATGTCATTATTTATAATTGCGATAAGATAGTTATTGCGTTGAATGGAAACATTTAATAAATATCATGTTTTTAAAGAGTGAAGCGTGTGAAATAATCAAATTGGGTGATTTCTGGTTTAACCAACTGATTGGTTTGTAATGGTTAGTAAAATCGATCGAGTGATTTTAAAAATAACAAGAAAAATCTTAAAATTAGATTTTTTATATCTAAAGATTTGATATTATAACTAAAGATTTGATAGCCTACGTAATAACGGAATGAGATAGTGATTATTGTAGAGAAAATGATTTCTGAAAACTCTAAATGCGATTTAATAATCAAATCAATTTAAATATGATTTAATAGTTAAATCAAAAGTCATGGTTTTTTGAACATGTTATTCTACTTTGATATAACTAGATTTTTTT